TTTTACAAATCACCAAGTGCTGAATCCAAGAACCAAGAAATCAAATTGGCAATTATATACAAATATCTACTAGTAGGTGTTTCAGTGCACCAATGGTAAAAAAAATGAGGTGCACATTACTAATAAAAGTGTACATGCACCCAGTATTTTGAGCCCTAGCTGTAATATCAAGGCTAACAGAATCACCAGCCCCCCTGGGAGCATGCTGTATCATCTACTCAAGGATAAACTATCAGCTGTAATTTACACATCAGTGCTGAAACTGCTGATGATTTCTTCATTGTGTAGCTGAAACAATGTGGTGATCTCTGAAATTTTGAAGTCTTACTTTGGATGCTTTTGGGTGATGTAGGTTGCTTCAATTTTCATTTCTCTACATCTACTTAGACTAAATTTCTTCATTGTCAGATTTCTATAAGGTTAATCCAATAACAAAGTAACAAAATTCGTGTCGCTTAAGTGTGTGTTTTCCATCTAACAGACACCCCAAGAGAAAAATCTTGTCAGATTTTTCAGTTCTGTTTCATTGATATTGACTGGCATGTCACAATATGTTACGCGAAATATGTTGAATATGTACAAAATGGCATTGCACTCAATTAATTACAAACAGGAAAGTAAGAATTAAAATATCAAATATGTGCATGTGTATACATTACTAATCAGTATAACATTTCAGAGGGATCTACAGAACCCACTTAGTATCATTGAAACGGGGGACTATTCATTAGCCACTGCCTCCAGGAACAAGTCAAATCCCTCAGTACATAGAAACATCAGGTGTATAGACTAGACATTTTTACCTATTCGCATACCTTTCACATTAGCCTTCAGGCACAATTTTGCAAATAGATTATTTTAGCAATTTGGGTTGAAATACAGTGCGCACAGTATTAATATCAGATTCTATACTGTTATAGATTCTTTACGATCATGGTTCTCTCCCTGTCCACAAACTCTCCAGGGACATTCCCCAAGTCTTCCTTCCCGGTCAGAAAATTTATGGATTATTATAAGACAATTATTAACGTAATGATGATTCCCAAGGCCACACTAATCTAATTTATGAATCCTCTGACATTTTAACCCTTGTCCTGCTGGCCATTCTGGCCTATACACACTCCCTGTGCTGGGGTTTCCAGACCCTACTGAAATGTTTGGTACTACTTTTGTTACCTCCATGAAATGTGTCATGGAGGTTATATTTTCAGTTGCGTTTATCTGTCCGTCCGTCCGTCCGTCCGTCCGTCTGTCTGTTGGTCAACAAGATAACTCAAGAACGCCTGGATGGATTGGTTTCATACTTGGTGTGTTGGTAGGGTGTGACGAAAACTGGAAATGATGAGATTTTGGTCCCCCTAGTGGCTTCCCTTGGTACTGCAGCGCAACTTCCGGTTTTGATATCTCGCGATCTGGACATGCTAGGGTCATGAAATTTTGATGGAAGGTAGCTCTCGTGCTTGGGAAGAAGTCATATGAGTTTGGGCCCCCTAGCGGCTTGTTCTGGAACTGCAGGGCACTTTCTGGCGAAATGTTTAAAAGCCAATAAGTCCAGACAGGAGCAACATATTTTCATTATTTTTGGTGTGTAGGTAGCTGAGAGAGAGATGTACATAATTAAATGCAAATTATGCAAATGAGGACTTTATTTGCATAATTAATGAGGAAATTCTATAATTACAGTGTTTTACATTATACTATGT